ACCAGGGCACTCATGCATCCAGGAAGTCGATTCCGTGCATAGCGCAATTGAGCGCACTCTGCGTAAATCTGAATACTCATCTCCCATTTCTTTGATTCGGATCCTTTTAAAGGTGAATTCGAAAAAACCTTATAACATTCTTCAAATGAGAGAACAGGATTTTTTTGATTTTAATTACTATTCGGTTAAAATGAATTATAAGTCTGTCCCATTTTCAGAGGTGGTAGCCTTAGAATTTAACAAATCGTTCTACGAGATAAGGTATCGGCTCTCTTTTTCTGAGGCTGAATATAGATCTTTGAATTTAAGACAAAGAATTGGCCGACGTCAATCCCACGTCACTGCAGAAAGAGGCGATATATTATTTCCCGAAATACTGAGGAAAAATGATTATGCAGTGGTACTTGCACAACACAAAGTAGATGCAATAAAATCAATGCTCAAGTGGATGCCAAAAAATGATGTGACTTTCTATGAAACTGTTTTTAGTAGATTAGATAAAAGTAAAAAATAAGATTTCGAGTATAAGTATTTGATGGATTTGATACTCCCTTGTATTAACTAAGTTTTAGTTTGTTTTGTCTTAACTTTAAGAATTTGGGTTATTTTTATTTAATTTCAAGTTTTGAAGTCCTATGTTTGCCAATATCCTTAATTTTTAAACTTATTTGACAGTAACGGAGTCCTATGTATTTTTGTTTATCTAAAATAAAGACCAATAAAAAAAAGTGTGACGACTTCCTTTATATACCATGTACCTTTTACTTACAAAGATGTAAAAATCACAGTAATAACCAAAAGATGTTCAAATTTAAGTAGATATAAACCTCAATTTCTTTAATATTGATTTTCTCGAGTTCGAATAATTGTAACATAAGACTATGTAATTCTAGGGCAGCGAATTGTATGGGCCTGTTTGACCGACTTGGTCCGTTTGATTTCTCAGTTATACATGTTCGTAACTAACTTTTTTATCAGAGGGTGGTTCTGCATTAGAAGTTCATCAAGCCAAGTAACTTGATATTTTATAAGCTACTTGACCTGGAAATAAAATTACTCGAAACGTAAATGCTTGACTTGACTTAATTTTTTTATTGTTCTCCTTGACTGGCGGTCAAGCATCCTAAAACTACTTGATACTTGATGGCAAATTATATTTTTGTTCTACTAAAGGCCTTTAGTGATATTTAGTTGTACAACTGTTGAACCGTACTTTAATGCAAATAATCACGAGTGGTGGAAATGGCTCAAATCACAAAACACGTAAGACTGAAGAAGTGGGAGCTGCACGTTAAACAACGGCAACACCGTTGACGTTTTCTCAGATGGTTGCGCCGCCTACTTGCCTGGAGATCTGGAGGAACTATAGAAGGAATTCAAAGAATGCGCCGGGAAATCATGAATGCTAGGAACGTGCCGAGGATTTAGTTTGTTTACAATTTAAAATCTGCTGAAAGTGATATTTCCCATATTGAAGAAATATTTTATGAGTATAGACGCATAAAATATCCTCAATAAAGGAAATACCTGATTCAGCAGTTTTGCTGGTAACCAATTTTAGGATAATAAATAAATGCGTAATTAACAAAATATTTATTAAATAGTTAAATATATGAATAATAATAAGTAATAATTTATCATCACAGTACATTGACAATATATAAAGGTATTTTTAGATATTTATTTATTTATTTATTTATTTATTTATTGAAATCCACCACCAACAGTGTTAACCAATTACTGGTGGCAAAACAACAATAGAAATAGTAAAAAAAAAACACAACGAAAACTAAAAACTAAATCATTTCACTGCAAACTCTCTTAATGTTCGAAATACTTGTGTTGAACAAATCAAATGTACTCTGTAGACTATTATAACATGAACACATCGAGTACAAAGGTGAGTGCAACAGTAAGTTAGTTCGTGGGGTAGGTAGGTAAAAAGTGAGTGTATTGCGAGTAACAAATTTTGGAGCATTAAATTTAATCTGTGCTAGAAATGATAGACAATCATAACTGCTATGCACTACTTTATGCAGGAATATTAGCGAGTGAATCTTTCTTCTGTTATCAAGACTGATAAACTTGTGCTTCCGTAACAGGTCTTCCTGTGGGACCCCAATGGGTGGGTACGTACCGTCAATTTTGAATGAAAGAAATTTCAGAAATTTCCGCTGAATCTTCTCCAGAGAGCCACAAGTTGTAACATAGCATGGATTCCATATTAGCCGCCCATATTCTAATTTAGACAGTATGAATGAATTATAAAGCATAATCATGGCATCTTTGTTACTTAATTCCTTTGAGTTACGTATTACAAATCCTAATAATCTGTTGACAGCATTAATAAGGTACTCAATATGAGGATTGAAGCTAAGTGACATGTCGAAAATCACACCCAGGTCCTTGCATTCTTGTACTCTCAGCAGAGAATGATTGCCAATTCTGTAGTCAAATGTAATAATATCTAGCTTTCTGGTGTAAGACATAACACTACATTTACTGTAGTTAATTGGAAGTCGATTTACAGCACACCATTTAACTATTTTGGCTAGGTCTTTTTGTAAGTGAGCACAGTCAGTGCTGCAGTCGACATTGGAAAAAATTTTCAGATCATCAGCATAGATTAAGTGGCTGCTGTCGATGTCGCTAACAATATCGTTTATGAACAGTATGAAAAGCAAAGGACCTAAGCAGGAGCCTTGAGGTACCCCTGAGGTTGGAAAGAATTCAATGGATTTGACACCCTCATATTCAACATATTGCTTTCTTCCTGATAGATATGACTTAAGAAATGATAACAGCTTGGGGGAGAATCCAAAATAGCTCAGCTTCGTTAACAGAATACTGTGATCAAGTTTGTCAAATGCTTTACTAAAATCTGTATAAATTACATCCACCTGGCTATTAGCATCTAATGCAGAGGAGACTGACTGAGTAAAACAGGCTAGGTTAGTTATGGTTGATCTACCCTTCATAAAGCCATGCTGAGAAGTACTTATTTGGGCATGTGTATTGTGGTATAGGAAATTATGAAGCAAAGTTTCTAAGGCCTTGGAAAAGATACATACTAGGGTTATCGGTCTATAATTTTCAACCTGTAGTCTATCACCCTTCTTGAAAATGGGACGCACCTTTGATTCGCCCCAAATTTCAGGAAACGTGTCAGTCTTTAAACATAGGTTGAAGATCTTTGTCAAGGGATGAGCTAAGATGTAGGCACAGTCACGTACTAAAAACGATGGAATTCCATCGGGTCCGGAGGTAAATTTATTTTTCATTTGCTTTAACACTGTAAAAACTTCTTCTTCGGAAAAGCTCTGAAGTATTATGTTAGTATGCAAGTCCGAAATATTGATATCAGTTGCGTTCGAAGGCATAGTATATACAGATTGAAAAAATAGCGCAAAAGCATTAGCAATTTCATTGGGTTTGTCATACTGCTTACCATTATAGTTTACATGGCTGATTGTGGAATTTTGTCCCCTTTTATTACAGATAAATGACCAGAAATTGTTCGGATCCTGAGATAGTCTACTTTGGATATCTACTAGATATTTTTGATATGCGTTACGCTCATCGCGCTTAATTTTGGTCCTTAAGTCTTTGAACTCAGTGTATGTGATCAAACTTTTATCCTTTTTAAACTTTTTGTGTAGCAAATTTTTTCTTTTAATGTCTCTAATCATTTCACCGTTAAACCAAACTGGAAATTTGAGAGATCTGAGACTTGTCCTAGGGACACACATATTAAAAATTTTACGCAGAATGTTATAAAATGTTTCCAAAGCTACGTTTACATCTGTTAAATTGTCAAGAAACGTCCAATTAACCAAGCTTATTTGTTCATATAGTGCTACAAAATTGGCTTTTCTGAAATTATATGATTCTCTGGGGCATTTGATACTCTTTTTAGAATGGAAGCTCATGTTGATTATCATGACAAGCGGAGGATGGTGAACATCCTCAGGTAGTAGGTCATCATAAGCCTTAACGACGCTACATTGTTTATTTGATAACACTAAATCTAATAGCCTAGTATTTTCATTCCGAACATCATTGAATTGAGAAAGATCGAAGAAACCCATAAATGACTGAATTGTTTTCTGCTTGTGAGAAGATTGGAGGTGATTTTCATTAACAAATTCGGGAACATTAAAGTCACCTAGTATATGAATACTTTTGCCAAAGAGGTAATCAAGCGATTCTAGATGTTCAAAGAATCTTTCATAGCAGGAAGTACTCGTGTCAGGCGGTATGTATATCACAAAGAAATAAGTCACTTCATTTTTATATCTAAGTTTGATTCCAATTATGTCAATACTGGGAATATCGTCTCTGATAAAAGTCATATTTACCTCTGATGCAGCAAGTTGATTACGAATACCAATTAAGACACCACCTCCTCTAGAACACCCCATCGCAGAGAAATTTCTGTCCGCTCTAAATACAACATATTTGTCAGTAAATAATTCAGAACTAAGTACTGCAGACTGCAGCCAAGTTTCAGTACAACAGATGATATCATAGTCAGACATAGCGACATTTACAAAGAATTCTTTACACTTAGAGTTCATACCGCGTACGTTCTGGTAGTAAACAGAGATGCGACGATCAGAAAAGGTAGAAGTAGAAACTCTTACAAAATTTTGAGTATTTAACTGTTCATAAGGGATTTCATCGGGAAAATCCGAACTATGAAAAAAATAACCTAGCTTTAAACTCCTCAACTTTTTGTAAGTAACATGGGCACCTAGAATCCCAAGCCGCATGTGACATGTCATAGTTGGTATTTCTATCTAGATTATTTCTAACACAGTTAATACATTTTAAGTTCGTGGCCTTGCAGTTTTTCAGTAAGTGGCTATCACCACACCGAGGACAGTGAGTTTGGCTCTTACATTGACCAGAAACATGGGAGAAACCACTGCAATTGAAACATCGCTTGATAGAAATTTCATCATACACGCCACAAACATCATACCCCACGAATAACTTACCCTTGTTGACAGACATAATTTTATTATAAGTACCGTAGTCTAATTGAAGGATGGCTTGGAAAATGTCAACTCTTTTCTTGATTGGCTTAATGTCTATAACCTTACATTCAAATTTCTCACTTAGCACATCTTTATTTTGAGACTTAATGGAATTAATAAAGTTTTCCGCAGATTGTTTTTCAGTCATACCCGCAACCCGTACTCTAGGACTGAATCCAGCAACCTCCTTGATTTCGTACTTGTCAGAAAGCTTCTCCGCAGCAATTTTCTTGAGCTTGAGATTGTCGTCATCAGAATTGCAACCAATTAGGATCCCCCCATTCTTTACGTTCTTGACACCGGAAAGCTGAAGATTTTCTGCGACTGGATTCACGTGATGAAGCATGTCGGCTTTAGTGGCTTGTGTATTTTGCGTTGCATCTTTAGGTTTGATGATGATTGCCGATTTTCCTTTCGTAATAGCCGAATACGATTTCTTATCATTGATCTCAGGTAACTCAACAGTACTAATTTTTTTCACGGCAATCTCCAGAATTTCTGAACGAACACTAGAAAATAGCTGATGAATTTCGTTTACCAAGCTGGATAGTCTAGCATCTAGAATCTCGTGCACTTCGCTGGTATACGATTGGCACGGATTACATTTCCACGACAAACCGTTTCTCTTTTCAATGGTTTTTACTACATCAGCTGATAAGCCCTGGCAAGCGGCATGAAAAAATTTTCCACAAAAACCTTCACATTTAACACTTTTTGTTCTAGCACTGATAGAGGAGTCACAATAACTGCAAACTGGATCACTCATAATTACAGATCGTGGTGTTGCATCGGTTGCGTATTCAAGAACAGGGTGTGTGATGTTATAACGAGTGATTTAGTTTTTACTTGAAATTTTTACTTCTAGTCTTACTCGAGCTATTTGACCAAATACGAAGAGCAAACATAAACGCGTGCGGTTGTTTTGCTAGCAGAACTGATATCCGGAGCTTTCTCTATATTATTAAGTGAATAAGTGATGGTTCAAAAAAATACAAATCATACGTTAGTAGCATAAAATACGATAAAAACGGACCTCAGTAATCAAAGGAAGTGTTTAGCAACACTACACTATTGTTAATCCATCATGAGGTATATCACTGAAACGTAAACATTCATACTAAAACAACAAAAAATAAATCTCTGTAGTTAAATGAATAAATGAAATGAAAATATAATCTGAGAAAACGATATTTTTTATAGTGTAAGAATGAGGAAAATTTTCTTCAAAGAAGGAATCATAGTTAAAACTAAACAAGACATTCCTCACAATTAAAACCAAAGGCTCCTGATAGCTTTAACATTACAGGGAGTAACAAAATAATTATTCTTCGTCCAACTGCTCCCTACCAAGGATGCTGCAACTATGAAACAAAAAAAATATATATATATTGTTTAGGTATATCACAGTATTATTTGGTTACTGAAAGTAAATAGAAAATTCAATGAATGATGAGTGCTGGACTACATAAAAAAGCATTACCTGACTTTAACTGTCTTGAATTTCTTATTTGTTGATATATGACTATTAGTAGTCTCACCACTCCTTTTCAAAGAAATTCTCTTTACATATTTGCTGCTGACAAAAGCTGTAATTTTGAAGGATGCAGGAATTTAAATTTAACTTCCAGTTGGTCTTCTGTACCATGCTGCTCTAAAAATGCATACAGCTTTTCATCCAGAAGACCAATCAGGTAAATTAAATCTTCACTTGCATACTTCAATCGCTCAGTCAAGTCATCGTTGGTTGTCAGAGCAGTCTGCGGGACCTTAGCTCTTGAGTCACAGTGTCAGTTTGTAAGTCTGTCAGGTCTGTCAGGTCTAGTACTTCAATCGCTTTTCCTCATCATGCTCTTTGAACGTCACAAACAGATGTTTTTCAGTGACAACGAAAGAAAATAACCTGAGTCGGTCCAAACTGTTCCCCGCCACATAACCATTTGAAGGATTCCATTCAACAGAACTGTCCATTATTTCAATGTCAGAGTCACTTAGAATCTCAGGGTCTAAATCAAGCACTGTAGCATTACTTTGGTCATATTTATCAAAAAAGTCACTGAAATCGACCAAAGTATCACAAAAGTCGATTTCACAATTACCTTTAGAAAAAGTTGTGCTGAAATTATTAATAACTACTGTTTTTAAGGCAGCATTAACTGATGACAGGTGGGATTTGTATTGAAGATATCATGCTGTCTTACTTGACCAAATAAATTTTCCAGGGAATCTTGATTTCAATTTCTCAAACAAACATATTTCGAGCCCTTCTCCTTAAGATCTCTCCATAGTGACATAACAGATCTAACTGTTATTTGCCAGCCTTCAACAAATTGAAATAGTTTGATTTGTCAACCACAGCAACAATGAAAATTGATTTTAATTTGGATAGCCTTGAGCAAACATTCCGGTAGACTTTATACATTGATTCCTTAGGGCTCAATTCCTTCTTTGATGTACCAGATTTTGTTAATATGTCAGAGCCTTTCTCTAACAAAAAATAATATTTATCTAAATAATTAGATTCCGTTCTAGAACCAGTTCCACTGATTTCAATGTTTTGATCTTCCAGAATAACACTGGAGTTTTCATTTTGATCAGAAGGGGTTGGATTTGTGGTAGCATCTCCAGAAGGAGGGCCATTGAATAAAACACTAGATACTGAACTGGGACCTGGTTTAGTAGGATGACTATTATTTGAATTAGAACTGTATTGGGGGACACTGGTATGGCAAGATATCTGTGACGTGAAGGATCTTGCGGATTACTACGATCCAACATTGAAAAATGATCCTCACAAACATAATAATTGCAAACTCTACGAGTGGGAGTGGGACATATCTTACAAGCTGCCTTCCATGCAGCAACAGTTTTTTCATCCTTTGGAAAACGATGGAATACTTTATTTTTGTATATACAAGCAGATTTCCGAACAATGTGGAAATAGGAATTTTTGCAAGAAGGATATTTGTATGGGTACTTTAAAGTAACGATGTACGAAGAGGCAACCCCAAATCCAGACATGACTGATTTACAAAAGAAAAACAAGCTTATTGAAGTATGCAATCTTAGGTATTCCTGCACACAAGTGTTTTACATTGAAAACTATATGACAAAGGTTATTATTACTATTATTATATGAAGATTATGAACGATAATTTCTCGATTGGGAATTAAATCAATAATTAAAAATTTATTCAAAACACGGCAAACACAATTTGAAAACAAAATGGAAGTTCCCCGGGAAAGTCAAACTGTCGTTTGTCAAAAATCAAACTCTGTTGGTAAGAAAGTGTCCTAGATTTTGCCTGGAGATTTATGAGAATGACCTTGTGTTGCCAGTTCGCCCACAAGACGTTTCATCCCCCTGGCTCAAATATAGTTTTAATGACCGGACATTCTTTATCGACACCTGCAACATCAGCGTGCATTGAAAAGCCACACTAACCATTACAAAACCCCGCGACAGATTAAGCGCGATAAATCCGTTAGGACCCTCATGTGTCTTAACTCGTGACTAGCGAATGAAAAGCTAATTCAGCATTCTTGATTTTTTGTATCAGCTGATAAAGAATTTTTTTTATTTGAGTTTACAGTTTTATTGCTCTTTTATTTGTTATACGGTGAAAAAATTATTTTGTTCAGTATGTATTGTTTTCTCTGTAACTTTTCACAAAGCCTTTCCATTGAGTTTTTATAATCTACTAGTATTAATATTACAAAAAATATCCAATTATATCATTTTCAAGTGCTTAACGTAAAAACTACTTGACTTGATTTACATTGCTAATATCTAATATTTGACTACAGCTTGACTTGATTTCAAGTCAAGACAAGTAGCTTGAAAATCAAGTCAAGTTGTGAATCCCTACTTCTGCTGAACAGACTCCTTTATGAAATGATAAGAGCGTTGCATGGGAGGTGCAGAGCAAACCTACCTGATGCCATTTTTTCCATTTTTGCTTCTCACGCCAATTGACGGAGAAGTATTGTAACCACGAATATGTTCAAAATAGAGATATTATGTTTCTTGGATGCTAGATAATATTTAAATCACTAAAAACCATGTACATGTACCTACCATCTCATTTATTTCTCACGTTTTACCTATATGACGTGTGCAGTCTGTCAGATGTAAAAATAGCCGATATCGTTAGTTTTACATACCTGTGATATCTGATACCGTTTTTGGATGTTATATATGTATAATAATAATAGTGGTTTTATTATCCATCGGTTTCCCATTTACAGGATAATATAACAACTAAATTACATCCACTTGTGTGGTGCAACACTAATTATTATAATATGTTATAATAATAATACCTTGAACGCGAAGAAAGATAATTGCCCCAAAAAACAAGAAGTAAAAATTAATTATATAACCTCTTTGCTATTGTGATAAATGCATTCAGTGAACAGAAAAATATATTACAAGGTCTGGGCATACATAGATATCATTTTATCACACATAACATTAGAGACTTAAGTAACGTATTGGTCTTAACTCTAGGTAGCTCAAATGTCACATTACGCCGAGATGTTCTATATGGAGGCATAGAAAGACCAACTTGTCTCGGAACAATCAACATATTCAGGTAGCAATTTTAATGAAAAGATGCTGCCGAAAAATATCTTCTATAATCTAAACCATGCATTTCAAATCCACTACATAGCTCAAACTTGTCGATTTCTCTTTCGAAATAGATATAAATGACGTTAACATCACGGAAGACCGAGCGAAAAACCACGTCATTCATGTCGCTCTGTCGGTCGGTCAGTCTGTCTGTATGCCTGTCTGCTTATCGTTGGCTTATCCAAAACTTAGAAACTACCGCTTGGACTTTGATGAAATTTTCATACAAGGTTACTAGTATGCTAAGGATAAAAAAGTTTTTGATCGGTAAAGTGGCGGCGAGGCTAGAGGCAAAGACAAAAAAAAGTCACTAAAACTTAATTGTTTGACGATTCGGGTGCTCCTGATCAATCTCCGAAACATGCTTGTGGGGGTTGAAAATTGGGTTTTGAGGGTACCAGGTAGATATCTTAATATTTCGGGCGTTAGAATATTTATACGCTTCCATTCCCGGTAATTCTACGCACTTATTAGATATATTTCACATCATGAACGCGTCTCTGGATATAAGTCACTTTCTGGACGATGAGTGACTGTGCTTCGCAGTCAGTAGTGACGAGAGAAACAACTTTTTGTCTACCTGCATGCAACGGTTTTTAAAGAACAGCGGGTAGCAAATTTTCTCAGCGGGCTAGATCCTAAAGATCAGAAAATAAGAACGTTTGACACAAAATCATGGTAAGTATGCAAATTTTTATTGTATGAGCTTGTTTGGTGGACTTGATTCATTTAATTTTTTGTTATACATGTTCTTTTATTACATTGTACAGTACGAGTATATACCTTGTAGATGCTGTATCATCATTTAGTAAACTCTTGAAGACATTATGATCTTACCCTTTCTTTTTAAATGCTTGTATAGTTATCGAACTATATACTATATCCAAGTTCAGGATGACCCTTGCGTGATGGGCCCTAATAGGTAGTTGTTACTGAACGACATTGTATTCAGTACTTACGGAGAGAACGTGTTGTGATCGACTGGTTCCTCATTATTTACACTAACGCCCGTCGTTACCTTTTCATCAAACGCATGTATCAAGCTTGACATCTTAGTGTATTCGGAAGATATTTTCTTTAGATAGCGGTGTGCGTCTCTTTGCCATCCAATTTAAAAGATGCCTTATAAAAACAAAGGGATCTCGATCTCGACGCAACGGTGCGTGCACGTTCATGTTTACAATCCACTTAAAAGTCAAACACTCAGAAGGAAGTTGGGATTTTCTTGGGGTCGACAGCGGTTCTTTGACTGCATAAGTGGTGTGTTGATTTGATGGATAGGTATAATGTTCAATGCATGTACATATATAGAAACAAATAATCTGATTTCAGAAAAAAAAGGGCTTTCAGAAGCACGCCGCATGCACATCTAGTTCTGCAAACAAAAAACTTAGTTGATTCTGCTAAGATAACATTTTTAATGAGATGATCCTGAAAAAGGTAACATCACCGCAGGTTACACCATTATTCATTATCCCACATATTAAACCACTTTCACCATTTTTCTATAGTGTATTTACACCCAGGATAGACTGGATGCGTGATTGCCAAAAGCAAGGACGGCGTACAGGGCCGCATGCAGGGCTACCTCCGAATGATGGACTACCACCAACGTGTTGTAAACCAAAGATGACCGTATTTAACAGAAACAGAAACTTAACAAATTACTCAAATACACTTAACAACAAAAACAGCAACAACCAAACAAAGTGAAAACACGAGCACGCAATGATACACGCGACGGACGGCGGCCTGCCCCTGCCCCGCGCATTATTCCACCAGGCGGCCGCTTGAAATTTAATGGCGAATTGACCAATAAGAGGCGTTGTCCCCACCTGTTACCGAGAGATCACGCGCTAACTGTTATTATTTACATCTCATCTTTAATTTGGATTCAGTTTAGATACTATTTTATCAACAAAAAAGAAGAACACCTTTTTACCATCAATGGGGTGAAATGTTGAAACGATTCTACTTCTAAATTAGCCACACTGCGTCACTGCGTGTAAAACCAGTGCAACAGTCAACCTACTTGACATTTATCACTACCACTTTGTAAATTTAATAAAACGAAATTATTTACTGAAATAATTTTTGGACAGCTTATAGTGGTTCAGATGTTTGTTGGGCCGTATCGTCAATCGTTCCTACAATCACTTTAAGACGCTTTTGATTTTCATATTCTTTTCTCTTCTCAAAGTCTGGGGTATTTCTAGATTTCTACTGTTCCGTATCAGCGTCAGCGGTCTCTTATTGTAATACCCTCTACAGACGCGCGGATCACGGCGTGAAATTGCGGTGCGGATCGCGTTGCGATTCCCGAAGTTTGTTCCTACAGTTCCACACTCGCAGATGTTCGCGCCTGCTTCACAGTATTGTTCGCGATCTTGACGAGCATGGATGGTGAAATTGCTACTGCTGCTGCAGGGCTACTTTGCGCTTAGGCAATTTATAATTAAGCATATATGAGTAAAACTAAAACAATTGAAAAGAAGTGGAAAAAACACAACCACTGCCGGCTCTCTCTGAGGCAACTGAGACACCAGCGAATGTTCATGTTTGCGAACCCTTTGTGGCGGGACAAAACACCGACAGCGACGTGAAGCCGCGAAGAATACGCGAATGGGTTCCACACTCATGCGTCGCGGGTAGTTCACGGCTTCGCACGTGAGTCTGGAGAGGGCACATGGGTCGCGGGTAGTTCGCGGCTTCGCGCGTGAGTCTGGAGAGCGCATAAGGCTAATTTTTTTTTAATTGAAGGATATTCAGGCTGAAATAACAGATAATAAGCATAAAAACATTTTGTATCCAACGTAGTAGATGGCTCTCTTTGCATTAACTGCGATGCCATCTTTCGGAAGTTAAGCAACTTACGCAATAGTTCTTTGAAGATTTCCTTGGAAATGGCACCAACACTAATAATCTGTGAAAAGTCTTTAAAATGGGGCACCACCTCTACAAAGTCCCAGCAACTTCCAAGCACTTGGCAAAAGATTTCCACTCAAGTATCTTATAGCTTAGTCTTTCGACACATAGATAGCGCCGCTAATGACAAGTGTCATTGTTGTCGAAAGAAATTGTCACTTCCTGTGGTTCTTAGTGTTCTTTACTCTTATCGTTCTGAGCCAGCTCTATGTTTTTTTCCCTCAGTTTTTGCAAGCCGGTGTTGAATTCAAAATCGTTTTTTGTTGAATTTCCATAGTTTTCATACTCAATTTTACATCGTACATGCGATATAATACTAGTCTACAGAGTACTTCATATTATCTTGCCGTTTTCTCTACACGATAATGGCAGCAGTATCTTCTGTGCCTCATTCGGTGAGCCAAAAAGCAGGAGAACAGATTCCCAAAGCAAAAGTTCTTGTTGTTGGAGCATGGTGGTATAGGTTGCGAAGTGTTGAAAAATTTGGCATTATCTGGTTTCCGGGACATCGAAATTGTAAGTTATTCTGTCCACTTTGTCAATGCAATAGTAATAATAACTAGCCATTACTGAGCTTTTTGGTATGCAGAGTTGATTGTGTTGATAAGTTTTAGCAAGTTGGCTTATTAATAAAGTATCTTCTTCTCACAAATTGGTTAAGGCTTTCGCGGCCAGTTGATGAACTGCTGTCTTGGTTCGGGTCTAAACAGTCTACATCCAGCATCAGAAATGGAAGGACCTACTGCCATCATGCTAGCGAAATGTTAGGAAGAAATTCCAACCGACGACGACCCGAATCAAGGCAGCAGTTTAATCTTCTTGCTAGCTGTGTTCAACATTATAAATTAATATTAACTATATGTGAAATTTCAGATTGATTTGGATACAATCGACGTGAGCAACCTAAACCGTCAGTTTTTGTTCCGCAAAGAGCATGTTGGGAAGCCAAAAGCTGTTGTTGCCAAGGAGAGCATTCTAAGCTTCAATCCAGATATCAATGTTAAGGCGTACCATGACAGTGTCACAAGGTAAACATACACTTATCAACTTTTAACTTTTATTATTGTATTAGTGAGAATTTGGGTATCTTATTACAAGTATCTCAATCTCAAAGCAGAAGCTTGAAACTAATGTAGCTTATATTAAAATAAGAAACATTGGCCATATTTACACCTTAGTGAATTATGCTTATATTAGACACACATTCTTTCTGAGGAACCTGAAGCTAGATATCTAATAAGCATAGTGGTGGCTGGTGGCTTAGTTGGTCATGGATCAAACATCATGAGTTAGAAATAATATCTTGTATGTTGGGATGTTTTGAAGAGCAAAAAAACTCACACACCACTCCTTACCTAGGGATTGGGTATCTTATTAAGAATATTTCATTTTGAAGCAGAAGCCAGGGGGGCATAGGCCTCCCCAATGGGTGCCCATGATTGAGATGCATGAAAAAAGTAAATATTTTTCTGTTTATTGTAAATATTTTGACCAATACAAATTTATTATAAAACTTTTTCATAAATAAATAGTGATCAATGCTCTGTCACTTCTTTTTGGACAAACATATTCCTTTTTATTATTGGTTCACATCAAACTACACCAGATCATATCGGAATAGTATAATTTTGGATTGCAAATAATATATGCGGCCACTGGCAGGGTATATGGTAACACTGGCTGCTGCTGAGCACTAAGGGCCATATCACAGATTATACAGATACGACTGTTATCCTTGACATAACAAGGCCAAACAACTCAGCTGCGAAAAGGCTGTGATGTCACGCTAAGTAGGCCAGTTCATATTCTTATGGCGTTTCGCCATGCTGACTGGTAAGAGCGCTGTTGAGATATCTAGGTATGATATAGCAGTATCAAAATCTCTTCTAATTAGTTATACCTCTCTATGATGATCTGATTATTATTTCTGATTGGCCTCAGTATGTCAAGAATACAGTGTCGATATTACGTTAAATCTGTCACGTGTGAAGTCTAACATGTCTGCCAAAATGGAATATGTGGCAACATAGCAGCTAACTTCAAATTCTGGGTCTGTTATTATGTATGAATATTTATGTTTATTATTGTTGTTTTAAACTCATATTTGTGTCTTGCAATTGTTTCCCTGTTACCCAAGAACGGTGACTACAACTATATTTCTAGATTTCTATTGTTCCGTGTCAGCGTCAGCGCTCTCATATTGTGAGGCTATGTTTCCTTTTTGAATTGTAGAAAATTTCGGGCTGATATAACATATGGTATATACCCTATTTTAGGAATATCCATCACACTTTGACGGCTACTGAGGTGAACAGCTGATCAGCAAGTGACATTTTTGTCTTAGTCTGCAACGTTGGCAATAAAGAATCCGGTATAAATCTAGTAAATCTTGTTTGTGCCGTTTTGTTTTTGGTATGTACATGAACTTCTCTAAATAAAAGAGCCGTTAGCAAGTACAAAATGAATCTGCAGCATACAAAATACGGCTGTGTCTACCTGGCGTTGACGGATCCGTCAGAATTATGTGCCCTGTGCCGATATGGGGAATTTTGAGGTACTATTAGATAACCAGCTGTCATTCTACCGTGATGGATACTCGTGAAATAGGGTTTAAAAAAGGAACAACCTCAATACAGAGCGCTGACACGGAACAGTAGAAAACTACTAAGTCAAGGAGGCCACAAAGGCGTCCTACAATTGTAGGAACGACTGACGATACGACCATCAGTGTACTTTGAATTTACAATCGACTTTCTCCGCCGAAATGGCGACCGTTTTTGACATTGACAGAAGAGTTTCTTAGCTGATTGTTATCTAAGCTGGGGTTCAACTGTCTGGGAATCCTTTGACACAACATTGATTATTGTTGATTACAGCACTTATCGTTTTGTTATCGCAGACCATGATCATAATAAAATCTGTACCTTTTTAACAAATAATTTCCAAAAGATAAAAGGCTACAAAAATAATACCATCACATGGTGTTTCAACAGCAATTTATTTATAGCAAAGCATGAAAAAATACACATGATAAGAGCTGCTCAATGCAAATTTCATGTTTTATAGTAATTCCTTTGCAGATGTTCTGTGTTTAGGACATTTGGGTACCTATGGTGTAAACATTGCCATATAGATATATCTTAGGGCAAATCATGATTACAATTTTACAATTAAAAAATAAATGTAACACAGGTTAGGTAAAACTAAAATTTGTAATTTATCTATGTTTTGAACTTTTTACTATTTATATATGTAAAACCTTTTTTCTTATTTCAGCCAAGAATATGGTGTAAACTTCTTCAAACGTTTCGACTTGGTGCTAAATGCCCTTGATAATCGTGCAGCCAGAAACCATGTAAACCGCATGTGCTTGGCTGCAGATGTCCCACTAATAGAATCAGGCACTTCGGGATATTCAGGACAGGTTGAATTGATCAAAAAAGGAGTGACACAATGTTATGAATGTCAGCCAAAACCTCCACAGAAAACTTATCCAGGTTGCACCATCAGAAATACTCCTTCAGAACCTGTTCACTGCATTGTATGGGCTAAACATTTATTCAAGTAAGTTCTTAATACCAAATACTACCATAGTTGTTAAACCAGGTTATATGAATTGGTTGACATCATTTTTTTTTGCAAAAACATAAAATATCATGAATTTTCTTTTTCTTGTCCATTTCCATCTGACGGGAAAATTATTCTGATTCGGATTTCTTACATAATCTTATTCAAAATGGTGCCCGGATCTGCATGTCGCCAGGACCAAATTTGCCTCAAAAATTGTTTTAACAATTTTTTTAAACAAATTCCATAAATCGTTTATTTCGCTCGGGCCAAAGTGGTTTTAGATGTTTTGTGAGATTATGAAAAAAATTAATTATAGAACTTTTCTCTAAAGCTGATATTTTTCGAGATAGGGACACAATATTTGAAAAAGTGGAAAATACGTCATTTTTGACCCCGAAAAACAATAAGAAAAAATGAAAATTTTAATGTTGCAAAAGTTCCGAAATTCAAACATCCATTAACAAAATTCCAAAGCATTTAAAATAATTATTTTTTGTTATTATTTTTCTGGGTCGATAATACCATATTTCGCACTTTTTCTCATATTGTATTGCTTATATCTTGAAAAGTATCAACTTTAAAATACCTCTTTTGTTCAGAATATGCCAAAAAACTTAAAAGTACTTTGACCAATATCAGAATGGAAAAAGGATTTTATAACTTTGTTTAAAATTTTGTATGCAAATTTAATCCTGGCAACATGCAGATTCGTTAAAATGAGCCCTTTTTGGATGAGATTATCAAAAAAATCTGTATCATAATATTTTTCTATTTGATGCGAAGATATTTCCTGGACCAAGTGACTTGGCAGTCAGTCTTTTTACTATTGAAGAGAATTTAAGTATCTGGGATGTCATTTGTTTGTTTAGATTTATTGAGCATTATGCTACATATCCATAATATCCATATTACACAGTATATCACAAAATATATTGTCTTCAAGACTACATATTTTTATATAAAATTTCACTACTATGGATTCTGATTTTCCATGAGATATTTTTTCAATTTCCCTTCTAACATTTTCAAACTGACACACATCTTGATATCATAACTTAATTTATTAAATTCGTACAATCCCTTTTGAAATACTGACTTGCTCATTATATTGCTACTGCAGTTTTGTAAATGAAAGTCTATACTTCCTCTAGTAGAATAATTGTGGCACTCGTTCAATACATTAAAATTTTCTAAGTGATTTGGTAGAAGATGATTTTTCAACTTGAATATGAAAATGAAAACCAAGTAGGCTATGAAATTTTTGATATTTAACCATTGTAGTTCTTTCAGAATAAAATTTATTCTAGTATATTTATTTTTATTTAAGATGATTGTCATAGCTTCATGTTGTAATATTTGTAATTTAGAAAATACAGTTTCATTTGCAGTGAACAAAATAGTCGAACAATATAACAAATGAGGAAGAATGATAGTGTTGTACACAATTTTTTTAGAGTAAACGGCTATGCGAAATTCTGTAAAAGTAATTTATTTTCTTGGATATTTTTGAAATAATATATTCATAGTGCCCTTCAAATTTTAATTTACTGTCTACGTATATGCCCAAGTATTTAAATGATTCGATTGACACATTTTTTTCATGATTAATTGTAAGATTTATCATATTTTGATATAAAGATTTTCCTATTAGCATATATTTTGTTTTGTTTGTGTTTAGTTTAAGTTTATTTACATTTAACCAATTTATTACGTTCTTCATATTATTATTTAACAGCTCTGTTGCAGTTTCAATTTCTTTATTTGATATATATATATATATATATCTTGAGACGTGGTCATTGTCGTCTAGACCAGTTAGGTGAAAAAATTAAAGCTTACGCCTTTTGTTGGGGTTGTCGAAGTACCCAACAAAAGGCGTAAGCTTTAATTTTTTCACCTATATATATATATATATATATATTAATGTATCATCAGCAAATAGTTCAATTTTGCAGTGTTGTAACATATCAGGAATATCGTTAATACAGGTATATCAAATAAATAGTAATGGACCTAATTTGCTACCCTGTGGCACACCTGTCGAAATGTTTTAATGTTTGATAATGTATTGCCAATTTTAGTTCTTTGACTTCTATTGATTAAATAATTTTGTAATAAGTTCAATACTGTACTTTGAAATCCATAGCAATGCAATTTCGTTAACAATTTCTCCCTGTCAAGTCTCAAATGCTCTCTTGAAATCTAAGAACAATGTTACTGTAAACTTTTTTCATCCATATTTCACCTCCATTCTTCTACTACCATCTGAATTGCTGTTTCAGTAGAATACTTTTTTCTGAATCCTGCTTGAAATTTTGTCAATATTTTATTTTCTTCAATATATCCAATGACTTATTCATATATGATTCCTTCTAAGAGCTTCTAGACTTCTGGCAGTACGTTAATTGGCCGCATGTTTGTATATAACTCAGAATTTTGCACTTTTGGAACAGGAGTAATTGTAGAACATTTTAATTTTGAAGGAAATTCGCCATACACTAAACAATGATTCACTAACAATAATAACTTCTCTCCAATAATGTTGAAACATTCCTTCATAACCATTTTTGAAAGATGTTCAGAAAGATTTCTATTCGATTTCAATCTTGTAATAGCTTTTGAAAGATGGCTGATATTTATTGTTTGGAATTGTCTCATAGAAGAATTACAAGTAACTTGCATGTGACGTAGATTTAGATCCCCATCTTCGATTGATTTCACTATCTCATTTATACTTTCTATAAAATAAGCGTTCATTCGTTCTGCAATCAATATTTTTTTGTTACTATACCATCTTCGAAACACATTCTTGATAATTCATTCTTCCTACTGGGAGATACAATATTTTTTAGTGTCTTCCACATCATTTTACTCTTATTTTAATTGCTATCGATTTTGTTTTCATAATATTTTTTCTTTTCGTTCCTAAGATTTGTTAAACACTTGTTTCTTGATTTCTTATATTGTATCCAATCTTCCTCAGTTTGAGTGATCATAAACTTTTTATAGTCATTATCACGCGTCAATTTAGAGTCTAGAAATATTTGTGAAAACCATTAAATGTGGTGTTGTAGCTTTCTCTACCCTCTTACAGACCTCTCTCAGTATCTGGGCTGAAGTTTAACTAAATATTAATCCATTTCACTCAATTCCTTCATAACTGATTCAGATATAGTCAAAAATAAAAACTAGCATGTGGAAGGTTGGACAGAACAGAATTCGGTATTGTTATAGTCGTAAATCAATTCCATTCTTTCAAATTTTAGTCAATTGTTTGGTGAAGATGACCCAGACCAAGATGTGTCACCAGATACAGAAGATCCTGAGGCCAAAGGCGAAGATGACGACCACACTGTAACTGAAGCAGGCAATATCAAAAGAACCTCTACACATCAGTGGGCACAAGAAATAGACTATGATCCTCCACAATTGTTTGATAAGTTCTTCAAGACTGATATCGAGTATTTGTTGAAAATGGGTATGTTCCATTTTATCTTGGAATCATCTTTTTCTTATGTTTGATAGTATGTTCTGTGGTTTGCAGAAAACCTCTGGAAGACACGTAAGGCACCAGCTCCATTGTCGTGGAATGAAGCTACATTTCATGCAGGTGATGCCATGAATGATGATGAAAATGACATAAAGGCATTTGAAATGAAAGTTTGGCCGATCAGCAAATGTGCAAAAGTAAATATTGTTACATTATTTTCAAATTATTATACAGGGTGTCCACAAAGTTGGGGTTGGGGGTAAAATAAGCGGATTTTCTTAGTAGCATATACACCAATGTCTTAAGAGAACCGAGATATTGGGCTCTGCAAACTAAATCAAACCTGAACCAAACCGAAGCCGGTCCTATCCCTCGATATCGTCCACAACGCCAGCCTACAGTTATGCGACGTACGAATACGATGTAAATACGCTAGTATGCAGCCTAACCTAGACGCCGATAGTGTAAGTCAACAAACCATTACATTGGTAACCGATTGCTGTTCAAAAAATAATAAAAAATGGCACACTGATACACTAATAGCGAACTACTGGACATGCTAACTTACGGTGAGTGTCTTCAAAAGGCCTGCACCGATGCTTGGCTACGTCGAGCACGCACATGTGTTTTTGAATCCAACAGCGACAACTTCGAATAGCACTTATAAAATACATTCACCAAGAAAAAGTGACACCGACGTCATATTTTCGATCTCTTTTTTGTTATTTTTGTTATATGTGCTCCTCGGATTTTACGACAGAGCGTACTTTGAATTTCAATTCAACTGAACAGTGAGTATTTTTTCATTTATTTTTTTTTACTTGTTCGCTCATGTTTCACCACATATTAGCTTTGTTATGTCAAGTTGTGTTTGAAAAGTAAAATCCCAACTTTGCCGACACCCTGTAGATTCATTACGCCAATTTTTCATAATGCTTTCCGTTTTTCTAAATATTACGTATCTTTTGTAGGTTTTCTCAGAAACAGTGTCGGTGCTGAAGAAGGAATTACAGGGTAAAAATTTCCTTGTCTGGGATAAGGATGATAAGTCAGGAATGGACTTTGTAACAGCTTGTGCCAATATCAGAGCAAGTATCTTCTCTATTCCAAATAAGTCAAGATTTGAAATCAAATGTAAGTTTACTTATAGCGCTTTTTGGGCTCCATTACTTTTTTTTGTGCTAATGTGTATCACAAAGGTTGTATCTATAGTAGCTGAAGTAGAGTGTTCATCCATTTTTTTAGGATGATTTGATTTATCCTCGTTTTGTCGCTCGTTTGCTGGAAGAAACAGGATTTATTCATATCTCATTTTTTTGAAGTTGGTATATTTATACTAGAGAACTACAGTAATTCTACGCACCTATTAGACATATTTCACTCATCATAGATGTCCCCGTACATTTACCGTTAAAAGGCAAAAAGGCTGCGCTAGACCTGTATCCTGGATAGAGGATAGTTGCTCAGTCTTCGTTCATTGTCCTACCTGAGACCAAGCCTAGACCATGCTGATGAGTTGATTAAAAGAACGATTCAGCTGTCCATGGTCGGCCGTCTGTGGTCGGACGGACGAAATCTATATTACTATTTTTGGTGTATATGGTATGTTACCAAAAAAATTTTGTAGTTGCAAATCTATCTGTTGTGTAAAGTCCCTATTTTGAGAGCACTTTTTTTTCTGTTTCCAGCAATCGCTGGAAATATAATCCCAGCAATCGCCACAGCCAATGCAATGATTGCTGGCCTGGTAGTACTGTACGCCTTTCGAGTACTTGCTGGCGAGTACGACCGGTGCCCGTCCATCTACCTCAGAGCTAAATCTATCCACTCCAAATTCATCCTGGCAGCGGACAAACAGATCACAAAGGCCAACCCAGTGTGCTACGTGTGCAGTCCAAAGCCGTTCGTGAACATCTTCGTGAACACTGAGCAGATGAGTGTCAAAGAACTCGAAAATGAGGTGCTGAAGAAGCATTTGAACATGGTGGCACCAGATGCTGTCCTGGATGGAAAGGGGATTGTGGTTATTTCATCGGAAGAAGGGGAAACCGAGGTAAATTTTAATTTCTGTTTCTTAGCAGTGCTGGATTTCCCTCTACTGGACTTTGTGCTCAGCAGAGAGGTGAGACACAGTGAAATGTGCTGAAAGTGGAAAAAGGAAAATCTTTAACTGACAACTAAAGTTCTATTGATATAATTTCATCAATTTGTTACAGGCAAACGATAATAAGAAACTGAAAGAAATTGGCATCGTAGATGGAAGTATTTTGAAATGCGATGATTTCTTACAAAATTACGAACTGACGGTTCACGTGAATCATTACGAAGCTAAGGAGAAAGAAGATCCTCTATTCAAAGTGGTGGCAAACCCAGAAGATCTCAAAGCTAAAGAAATGACAAATGGTAAGTTTTATGTTGTATTTTTTAACATTAGCTAAAAAATCAGAATTTTTTTTTGTACTAAAAATTGTATTACTTTTCAATCTATTTTGTTTTTAAAAAGCCATATTACCACATACTAACCAGTAGTGTAGCTAGGTCTCATGGGGCCCTTTGGGCAAAAACTAAAAACGTTGGTGACACTCATATTTGTTTAACTTGCAAATGTTATACGAAATGCAAAAAATAGAAATACCTACATCAATCGCGCTTAGTAAGCGTAAAATAAGATATTTTAGTACACAAAAAACGGTTTATTTTTCTTTTTTTCCTTATATTTATTTATTACTAGAAATACGTAAATATTGCATACTGTACGATTTATTATGGAAATTATATAGGGTTACTGCTAATTCGCCATATTCCTTCCAGGATGTGATAGGGGACCTAAAAACTGCAACAAATTTCGAAATCAATAGTTCGAAAATTTTCAATACTTGTAATTTTTAAACAATAACCCGAAAATGAACATTTTGATCTAAATAATAAAAAACTATGCGAGATATGGGGCAAATTGCAATATTTGATTTCCGTAGTTTTCGTTTTCAGTTTTCCTTAGAACAAGGTTTTGTCTAGACCAAAAAAATTTTTTAGTACGCTGTGCACAAATTACCAGAAAAACTTGTCCATATTCTCAGCTTTGCAAAATAGTTTTTAACATCAGCATGAGAGTGTTTAGTTCCTTACAAATAGTCAGTAAAAAATTTACTCAATTTGATCCTTCTAGTTGAAAATGACGCATTTAATTTTTAGCTCCTGCGTTTGCCATCTTTGAGGCAAAGTGGCCTTCAGTTGTTGTGCTGCCTCATTTGCTATGAGCTAAAGAAATTGCTTCAGTATATCGACTTCTGTGAAACCTTGTTCCATGTTTTAGATATGTAGTTCCTCATAAGTTTCAAATATGTAGTTAATTTGGCAGACAGATAGTGATCAGGCTTTAAAGAAAACGATATACCAGGGCAATTTCACTAGATCACCGTAAATACGGCAAAATAACTAAAGCCTACGTGTACCTCGGAGATGATAGATGCATGAGTTGGATAGCCACAAACATACTTTAGAAGGACAAAAACATTTAACTCTTAGTATATTCAATATAATGGGTCATGTCGAACTTTTTTCTACATAATAGCCTTCAAATTCCAGGATTTACGATCGCTCAAAGATGAAAGCAATATAAGCAATTTGATTTCCGTCGCCCTTGGTCCGTTTTTGGGGTGTTGTGAAAGGACCAACGATAATTATTTTGTGCTTTGCATCCTAGAGCATAAGAAATGCATTTTGGAATTCGCTTTCTACTAGTCCGCATGGTGGCGCTTAAACCCTTCCCCGCTCTTTATCATCAAAAGAGCATGCAACCGACAAAGCAGCCCAGCCAAAAGTGGATTGCAGTTTTATAGACAAATAACATTAAAATAGTCGTTGCGCCATTCGTCCGTAGGTGGCGCGTGGGCTACCTAAACATTATGAACTTACAATGAATTTTGCATCTATCAAAATGCGATGTCTTAGGTTTGTTTTTTGTTTAGGAAATGGGACAGCTACTGAGGAAAAGAAGCAAGAGCAAGAGAGTAATGAAGATGATGTGATGATCGTTGACCGTCATCAAGATGGTGATATAGAAGATGATCCCCAGGAGGGATCTTCTAGTAAGAAAAGGAAAATCAACCCTAAAGATGAAGATGACGATCTTTGCATTATCGATGATTAAAATAGCCAGTTTTTTGTATCTATATTTGAAGGTTATATTAAGATAGCATTACTTTTTTACTGTATTTTCAAAGTATTTCGTTATTATATAAATGTGAAGATTCCTACATTTCTGGAAATAAAATAAGTATGTCAACACCTCCTTAGTTTTATTGATTGCCCTGCACAAAACATCCTTACGCCGAGAGGCACTAGACTATTCTATCAAAAAAGCTTACCTAAAATATCCTATAACATACTTGGATTGCACACTTCTTCACTCAAGTATGAAGAACAGTCAGAAATTTCATACCAGGATCGCAGCAGCATTTTGGAGTAATGATGCGATAAGGTTGAATTTCCCGCCCAAACAATAGCGATACCAAAATGGTTTCTCGCACCTATACAGGTAGATACTTAGAATAAGAATTCCATAAAAACCTAAATTCAGCGTGATGTGTTTTTGAACAACTTCTTAATTTCCTCCCAGCTTCATACCTAGTCACCTTTCTGGTACAATGACGTTTAGTTTTTTTTTACTTTTATCTAAGGAAAATTTCATCCAATGTCCGCTATTTATTCATTAGCTAACACCTATGTATCAAGGGCACATAACCAGCAAGAGGTTATGATTGATCTGTCCGGCAAATTTTAGGAAATGTAAATTACTTTTTGATACCTCATTGAGTTGCTGCTTTCCTGGTATAAGAAACCTACACTCTGCGAAAACTAATATTTGATGCTTTTCTGCATTTCTGCTAAATCTTACCCGATGTGTGCCACCCATTATTTTGTATCAGGATCATAAAGCCATCAAAAGGTAGTTGTGCAAAAGCTTGGATTTCCGGTCAATTTTCAAGCAAGGCAAAATACTTTTTAAACTGATTCTCGATTCTGTGCTCTGGTAACAAACTTGTCTACCGAATTCGACTCTTAACACAAGTGGAGTCTTGGTCCAATGTGTTTCTTCCAAATGTTCTTTATCAGGAGCGCATATCCTGCAGAACGTAGTTGAGTGGAGAAAACTTGAATTTCCCGCCAGTTTTTAAGTCAAGGTAACTTGCTTTTTTATAGCTCCTTGTGTTCCTGGGATCCTGGTAGCAAACTACTTCACTTATAGAAATAATGATACAAACGAAATTTCATCTTAGCACCGCTGAATTTCCCTCCGTATCTCGTCTAATATGCGATTTGTGTCAGCTAAAAGTTCTGTATCAGTAAAACAGAGACCTGCTTAAAGATCCCAATATTTTTTAACAGGAACGGGAAGCCTGTAGCAGCAGGTAGTTGTAAGATAATTTCCTACCAATTATAAAGTATTTTTCTATATCTCATTGTGATTTTGCGATCCACACATCAAGCCTGTTTTACTTATAGAATTTACAAACGAAATTTCATCTAATGCATGTTGCGTCAGCTAAACATTTTGTATCAGGAATACAGAACCAGCGAGAGGTAATTGTGTGAAAAGCTCGAAATGCCTCTTTTAGACCTCGCGGCGCATGATGGCTGGTAACAAACGTTTCTACAGATTTAACGATAAACGCAAGGGGGTGGAAGTTTGGTCTAAAATTCGCCTAAAATTCACCAGGAACGCAGAGCCTTAGTTATTACTTATTTCGCGAAGAGGTTGCATGTTCCGTCAATTTCAAAGCAAGGGTTTCATACCTCTATTCTGTATTTATACCCTACCGACACACGGGAACGTGCCCATGGCGTTGGCTAGAAGGGGGCCCGAAATGCCCAACAATTAAACGAGGTTTAAAATAAATATCTAAGTATGCATCTCTTGCTTTTCAATTTTTCCCATTGGCAAAATAGTTCCACGGATTTTGCTCTGACCTGGGCCTCTTCTGCTGCATGCCTCAAGCTTCATGTGTGTCAAGGGGCTCCTATACAGTTTCAGACGACCCTATTCATAATTCCTTATGTTTCTGAGATCCTAATGAGGAGGCCCTCATGTATCGAATTTGGCGATCACGTCTCGTGTGATATGCGCTTTTTATTATTCAACATTCTGTACCAGGAGCAAAGAAGCGGCATGAGGTCATTTTGTGTGAAAAGCTCGACGACTATTTTGAGCTTCGCGGTTCTACAGTTTTTAACGATAGGCTCAAGGAGGCGGGAGGTGTAAGGCTAAAAATCAGCAGGAACGCAGAACATGCAGAAGTTGAATTTTTCGTCAGTTTTAAAACAAGTTATGATTCTCAGATCCTAATAAAGAAACGTCATCTATAGAATTTGACGATTATATTTTTGACGCGAGGAACATAGAACCAGCAAGAGGTGATTGCGTAGAAAGGTCGAATTGACTGTCTCAACCATTTCTCCTTCTGTTAGCCTGATGACATTAACAGAATCAAGGTCGTCAGTAGACATTTCAATCAATGCTATCGAGCTCTAAAGATGAAAACTATCTGCATTTGTTCAGATTTTGCGGATTCCGAGATTCCTTTGTTAGGACTATCAATTGATAAACGTATTCCACCTGAAGATAGCGAGCCATGTAGTGTGTTTCAGCTTCCAAAGAAATTCTAAGACGAAATGGGATACCACGGCGTCATCTATGAGAAGGCTGCTACACACAGTGCACACTCCGTGCACCCGGCGGCATACAAAGCCGCCGGCCTTGCCGCGCAAAGGAGCCGCCGGGGTGTGCCGGCGGGTTACGCGGCTTGCCGGCGTCATTTCGTTCCTGGCATTCGAGAGGTAGTGTTGTGCGGTTTGTGTGTTGCGCTTCACTAGCGTTCTATGTGACTGCCACAACCGGAATGATGCTTGGCGGCTTGTATTGCCGACGGCATTGCCGCTCGGCATAAACCCGGCGGCATTGCGGCCGGCTTGTGTGTAGTAGCTTTTATGATGATCAGCACGGGTACTATGTATTTTGAAAATCGACATTATGTCGATTTTTTTTTAAGACATTGTATTGGTTTTTTGTGACATTTTGTAGGCTTTTTTACAAGATGATAACTTAGCACTAGCTGATAGACACTTGTTGTGAAGTAGTTTTGTTGTACGTGTTGCTTAAATGTCGTGATGCTTTAGTTATCAATGTTTGGCTCTGATGTGATGTAAAATCTGCTTCAGAGATAGCATTACTGGAGGTCTAAGCTGTAAGTTGTATACTATAGCTAGAAGGAAACGACAATGCATATGTGTACAATGAGGATTTGTGTGGTAATAATATGTGTTGATGATAATTCCATTGGATTCTTTTCCCAAATACACTTACTTAAGATTCAAAGCTAGAAATTTGTTGCGCATCCACTTTTCTTATGCATTCTGGAAATTACATATGCAAATTTGCTGAATTTCAAAAATGAGAGATGAGAAAATAAAACTCCTGTTTGGTGAAGGAACAGGTGAGAAAATCTGCTACAGACAGGAATATTTTATTCGTATTTTCAGTCATTTAAATTTTATAGACATTTATTTTGTGATGTCAATAGAAAATACAAATCAGCGCCTAGATGTGAGGCATTGCGGAAATGTGTGATGCGTCCTTACTAATTTTTCTGTGATGTGGCTTAATTGCCCACAACGCGGGCGCGGTGGTGACTTCTTGTAGTGCTCCACAAATTTTTTGAAAACACAAAAAACGGGAAAAATCGTAATTTATAACAACTGAACATAACCTGCCTTCAGAAAGCACAACATATTCCCTATTCCACGAGTATGCATCACGGTAGAATGACAACTGATTACCTAGTAATATCTTAAAATTCCCCATATCGGCACATGACACATGACTCTGACGGAACCGTCAACGCCAGGTAGACAGAGCCGAATTTTGTTTTGGCTTTTTGTACGCTACAGATTCATTTTGTACTTGCTAACAGCTCTTTAACTTAAAAAAGTTAATTTGCATATAAAAGACAAACAAGCTTTACTAGTTTTATATCCGATCCATTATTGCCAACGTTGCAGAGTAACAGTATCTCAGTAGACATCAAAGCGTGATGGATACTCGTGAAATAGGTTATATAAATGTCTGTCGGGTACAGCTAATAGGTATACTTCATTGTCAGCATACGGTAATAATTTTCTCACACAGCAAATACCAGTGGTTTTATATACATGCAGACCAATACACATAATCATCCAGATGCGTTCTTGCTATTAAACCAACTTTCTTTGTTTCACATCGTCTCAGAGATGGAAACTACAGACTACTCGACTTCACAAAACATGCAACCAACAATGCGTGTGGTTGAATCATTCCTCTATAGATGGACGCTCACAACGATCCTCGTGAGCAAACGTGGAATGACTGCACTCCAAAAACTACCTAGTCTGCAAGATGACATTTGATAGATAGTTTTTTTTTTTCGTTTTATAGGTTTTTTACATAATGCCCGTGCAGTTGATTACTCTTATATTTATATTATGTCAAGTGGCTAGATATATAGAAGGGTGAGAGTTCTTGGCACGCTGAATACGTGCTAGATGAGATCTGGGTCTATTTATGGTTGGTATTTCCAATAACTTGAACTATTCGCGTATTTTTCGGATTGTAAAGTAGCTGTCAGAAAAGACATCATTTCGCTCGGATAATTTTCTTGGACACTCTTAGACAGCATTAAGTTGGCTATCTACATAATATGTAGAATACGTTAATCAATGTTTGCATTTGTTCGCAGTCCTATTATTTTGAGGTACCTATGAAATTACTCCTGAAAGGACAATAATAGTTTCAACCACTGTAATTGTATAGTCTGCACTTTAACAAACACAAGCAAATTTTTTATTTTCATTCAAGCGGTTGAGAGATTACAGCACTGCGTTGAGAGAAATCTGAAGCCTTCCTTAATAAAATCTCAGGAGAAAGCATATAATTTTGGTATTGTATGCGTGCGTACCAAAGGTTACTACCATTTATCAGGAGACGGCTTATTTACCAAGGTTGTTCGATAATTCTATTATATGACACTCAAGGCAAAGGATATTAGACTTTGTCATAGAAGTCGTGCGAAATGATAACAATATGAAGTCGGTAGGAAATAGTTTAACAATTTATTAACTCCAGATTTTCCGTCAAAATGAAACCACATACCACATGTAGAAATTACCTTTTGGTGACGTTTCGATCAATACGCTAAACTTTTTCAAAGTTCAGAACAAAATGACAGAAAGAACCGTAGTGGCCGAAACGTAAG